GCTCTGTTTTCCTTTCTGCAACCAGCCGCCTCTACAAACCACTACCCCAAACGACAAGAAGCCGTTTTCCAAGCAGTAGGAGTCAAACCCCTGGAGAAGGTGGGGAAAAATGAGGTGGGAATGGAGCAGCTGGACAGTGACRGCAGGAAAAGAGGTCCAGCTGTAAAGTATCTACTCAGAGGATCAATGTGCTTTTTTTTCCATGGAGTTAAAGGGTCTGCAAAGAGTAAAGGCCAGAAAGAAAGCTTCTGTGGAAAGGGCAACTGAAGTTACAGACAATGAAATAAATTTTCAATGCCTTAAATAGCTGGGAAAAGGGGGTTTCTTTTAAATCATCCCCATGAGAAAAAAGAGAATTTAACCTGACAGGTGGTTGGGAACAGCCCAGTGAGGGGGGACCCAGAGAAAAGACAGCAAATCTCCCCAAAATCCCCTARCAGGGGATGACACCCCGTGCATGGTAAAATCACTGTGGGCACAAATGGGTGCAATTCCATTCTGGTTCCTATGGGAATATCCCAGCACATGCCCATCCTCTCTTCCTGCTAGGAAAAGACTGGGGGTGGCAGAGCTGTGTCTGGCCCCCTCCAGCTCCTCTAATGTCCTCAAGCTAAACCCTGAACTAAATTAGATTTCATATTTCTGTTTACGTCTTTTTCTATTGCTTTTTTTTCCCCCTCTCAACTGTAACTGCAACATCCCCTCCCTGAAGGTTCATCATCAGCCTCAGTGCTAATCAAAAAATGTGATAATGTTTGTCTCCTTCCTGGGGGTGGTGGGGAGGCACAATCTAATTAAAGGTTTTCAGCAGCTCAAGTGCTGCAGATGGATGGTGTTTAGGAAGTGCAAAGTATTATTATTATTATTATGACGAATGCTAACACCAGCCTTCATAAACAGGCAACAGGAGGTGAAGCAGGTGGTAAAAGCAGAGGCAGGGCTTGTTCTGCTGTTACACCTTCATTTCAGCCTCACCCAAATGTGGCTGRGCAATGGGAGATCCTATCTCTGCCCCAGGAATGAGTGGCTCGTGGATGGGCTGTTCTGGCTCCTGATAAAGGGTTTGCMTTTCCAGCTGCAGGAAGAAGAGCTGCCAGGACCTTTAGCTGCTTGGAGGGTGTTGTCTGGGCTCCTTTGTAAGAGAAGGGGAGGATCAGCAGCTCCTTCCGGCCATGGATGAGCAGGTGACAAAATCCAACATCAGGCTACAGTTACACAGGAAATAAACATCCCTGAGCCACCACCCAGGGCATCCTGCTCTTAAAATCAGTGTGGATATGGATACAAACATACCCCCAGGTCACTCCAGCTGCGTGGCCAATGGATCCAGGACAGAGACCCTTTAATTCAATTTATAGAATCATAAAATTGTTTAGGTTGGAAAAAAACCCACAAGATCATCAAGTCCAAATATCATGTGCTGAAAAACATGATCCAGAACAACCATTAGATATTAAAGTTGTGTTAAAAGCAAGTGTCTATCTAGGATTGTCCCAAAATATCCATCACTCAAGGAACAAATGTGAGGATAGCTTATGATTGCAGCTCTATATAATAAACYATCTCTGTATCACTGATCCAGATACCTTTATATCTTGTTTGGGTACCTAAACTATTTACAAACTGTTTTTTATTAAAATGGACATAATTAATTTTCATGCAGAAATGAACCCCAACTGTATTTTCTTYCTTAATCACAGGCKGAATCTCTCCTCCTTTGCTGACCTYCATACCTTGGAAAAGAATGTGCTCCAGAAATGTGGAATGTGCTGGAAAACAAATTAGTGAGTGCTCTACTGACAGTCCCGGGATGTCTGTAGGAGCAGGGAATTAATGAAGCAAACAGAAACCATTCCAGACACTGGATGCTGTGGAGGAAAAAAATGTGTTTTGTGGCCATACAGTGACAGAGGCAAAACAAAGGAGGGGGGAAAGGAGACAGCAACTCGAACAAGAGCTGTGAGGAATTAAATAAACCCTATCCCACTCCCAAAAGCAAGGAGTGCTTTTAAAAACCAAAGTCGGCTTTCATTTGTGCGCCCTGGAACGGAAAAAAAATCTGGCTTTCRGGGGTGGGAAGGAAGAAGGTGACTCCATCCAGCTTGGATCCACTCCTGGTCCAGCTGCTGCTGCCCTCTCCTGGCTATTCCCTCCCCTGGGAACAGCGGTGCTTGGGCTGTCTCCTAAAAGAAAATAATTCAGAGAAGATCAGAAATGATTCACAGCATCACACAAGGCCTTTTTGTTCTTCAGTGAGCCCATCCTTGTCCTGCAGCATTCCTGGGAACTCAGTTTGTCCCCTTCCTCACTGGGGCTCTCTGCCATTRGTGGGGGGCATCTGCAGAATGGGTTGTGTCTGCCCACAGCAGCTGGAGGAATTAGTGATGTTTGGAAAAGCTATTCTGCCTTGGCAGAAAAAATAAATCTACCAAATGCTCTTCATGTTCAGTGGTTATGATTCATGAGACCTCATCATGAGTTTATGAGATGGATTTACGGAGATGCAGCTCTGCTGCTTCATTCTCCGCATGCCCTGTGTGAGTCTGCACCTCCCAGGGCTGCATCCAGCTCTGCAAAATAAACCAGCTCAGCAGTGGATATAAGGAAAGCTGGCTATTCAGCTTTCTGAATACAGCTGGATTCAGCTACATWGGGATATTCAAGGAAAGCTAGTTAGTCTTAATAGCACTGTTAATAAGCAATTAAATCCAGGCCGTAGTTTATAGTCTGTGACAGGCTCTTTGCACAAGGGGAAAGGGCTTAAAAGATGAGCTTTGCCTTCCCTTGGACCTGCCAGGAGCTGCTTTTCTGTGTTGTCATGAACGTGAGCACAAAAATCTCCTGCCATCCATCCCCCACTCCCCAGCAGGGAGAAGATCTCAGTGCAGAGCATCCTTCCAGCCCCAGGGTTTGAGGCACCAACAGTTGCAATTCACCTTGTGCTGCTGGTTTTTGTTTTTTTTTATATATATATACTTATGAAATCCCCCCACTCACTACTGGCACATTTTCCTCCTATCTAGGAGGTGACATTTCCAGTCMCTTTTTTCAGGAAATTAGATAACAAAGGCAGCTTAAAACCAAACCATGTGCCTGTTTCATCTCGCTTTCCAAGCTGAGGGGGTTTATTTTTAATGGAAAATTGGGATGTTTCATGAATCCCTGCTGCTTAGCTGGGTATCTTAYAGTCCTTCAGGCTTTGCAGGTCTGARGGATGGATTTTTTWAAGCTATTATTACACACTCTATAATTTATCAGTCTTCAATCTAAGGATATCAGCTCAGTGAGGATTTCTRTTTCACATTTATTCACTCTCTTAGTCTTTAAGTGAACATGAAAACGATTAACAAAACCCCTCTTCAGTTCAAAGCTTCAGTAATAACATTTGTAATGTGTGCAATCAAGCCCTGGTGTTGCAAAAATTGTCATAATCTCATGTTCAACACTCCCTTACTTGTCCTTCTTGGGGTGATGCCTTGCTCCAGAGGAGCACGACCTTAGCCTGGAGTTTTCCCTGACTCAACATAGAAGGTCAAAGCCTCAAGCTCTTGGAAAAGTCAGCTGGACAAAGGATGCCCTCCATGGAAACACACAGGGGCTGAACAATCTTGTCGTGTTGARTTTACATTCTTTGTTTTGCTGCTAAAAATCACTCCAAGCTGTGCCTGTGCCCGAGCCAGAGATATTTGGGTGTGGATGGAGGGCAGCCACCCCTGCATGCTCAACCTTCCTCCCAGCAGCCCCACAGGGGCACCTCTCACTTTTCCAAAAYGTAAATATTTCATTAGATTTCTTTCTTCTGGGAAAAAAACTCTGTATTTGGAGCAGGAGTTTGCACACCCTCTTCATTCTTCATCGGAGCTGTTCARGAAGGCAGCTTGGGATTTGCTGTCACCCTTCTGCTGCCGGATCCCCAGGCTGATGTAGGGCTCTCCACTGCCTCTCCCGAACCTCTGCAGACAGCTAAAACACAGGAGCAGAAAATCACTATTAGAAAACTCCCCAAGCTAATGCCACTCACCAGAAACCTCATTCTAGAGCTCCTAAAATGCTGTTGATGGGGGATTGAGTGGGTTTAGTTCTGTATGAGGTCTATTTGATAGCATGGACTGAACTATGAATTCYTTACTCCTCAGAGCCTCCCTTAAAGTGGGATAATCTTCCCAGCCCCTTGAAAAAGCCAAACTGGGGGCTGGTAATGTTTTAGTTTTTGTACCTCTAATAATTTAGTGACCTTCAACTGCTTCAAAGTGCTTATGAGGCAGAGGACGAGTCAGGGAGTCCTGGCAATGCTTTGATGTCTCTATCGAATTAAAATTTGACTTCAGCACTCAGCACAGAGGAAAATAAGCAGTGTGACTTCCAGGAGCACCCTAGGGACTCAGTTGTTTGACTTCTCACTGTTTAATGCCCGTGAATCTCACTGACACTGTTTTGCATTCTGTGCACTCGACAAATACCATGCCCTAAAACCTGCAGTGTTCTGGGACTGCTTATTCAGCTGTGACTTTGTACTGCAGGAAGGGCTGGGTTACATCTGTGTCACAGACATCCCACCCGGCCTGCCCACCCCAGACCTGCCCCAGCCCCA